TCCATTCATGAACTTGCATTTTTACTCAACTGCATAACCTTGATATAACTAAATTATACTAGTCTTATTGTCTCAGCTAATATGTATCATGCGACCTTTTCAAACAAATGTTATGTAACTGTTCTCTGCCAATTTCTGTCCAACTTCTGCTCTTGAATATCTTTCTACATATCGATAAATTGACCACTTGTTCTTATATATATATATATATATATATATATATATATATATATATATATATATATATATATATTCAGTTACTTCATATCAATGCTGTCTTTTTCTTCAAACAGATAACTTTGTGTCGAGTTGATCCATATATGCAAACATTTTGCATGAAATGATGCTGAAAATGTTTTAGGCTATGGAGTAATTGGTAGGAAACCTTAAAATAAAATGGATCCACGCTATCTTCCTAAAACTATTTTTCTTGCTGCGTTCAAAAGAATACATGTCATTATGCATTTTGTGTTTTTTTATATTTTAATTAAGAAGAAATCCTAATTTGACCACTGAAAATGAACAGGTGGTCACAAAGAAGATAATTCATTTCGTTGACTCGATTTCATGGCTCTTCAAGCGTAGTTATATAAGTGAAACGACGGACTGTCCTAAATGAGTTTTCGGTCTGAGATTTGACGCAATCGATAGATGTCCAGAAAGGAACTACATTGCGCAACACAATCCCTAGTTTGAATACGTTTCATAGAATGCATTAAAGGATGAGATTTGATTGCTGGTAGAACCATGTAAATAAACACAAATAAGTATGTAAATAAATAAAATATAAAATTGAACACAAACAGAGGTACAGAGTGTCTGCTTAAAACCACGGTGAATGGTGTCTTACTTTGCTTTATTCCACAAATGATAGTTGGTTTACTCACAATAAAATGAAAACATAATTATTTCACTGCTAGTTGAAACACTAGAATTTCTTTCGGGAATGAAGACCTCTTATGGATCAGGCTTCATTCCTTTAAACGTCATTGTCGGTTATATGTATACAATTTGGGGAACTATCTTGATGACTGTATATTCTTGTTTTCTCCCAAAGATGACCTGGTACTCTATTTAATGGTGATCAGATTTAAGGTTCTTTCTCCACTCTGTCCTGAAAGGAGGACAAAATTTTGTCTTCATTCAACTTTACTCCATGTTTTATTTTTACCATAAAGTGAACTCAGACCGACCATAGAAACCCTGGAATAAATTCATCCACTGACTGTCAACGATTCTGGTTGGTCTATTTGCATTATGAAGCTAATTTTATACTCCACTAAATAAATAACTCTTAAGCAACCTGAGATAGAGCTAATTATCTTTGGGGACAGAAAACTGTCATATCTCTTTCAGCAGATAACGTACAGTGATAAACTTACGTTATATGTACTTGCGAAAAACAGCCTAACCAAAATTATCCTTTATTTGTTTGTGAACTAGTAATGTTCTTACTTTGATCTTGGTAGAAAAAAGTAAGAATTTTTGGACCTGTGCCGGGGTAAACATGATATGGAAGTACAAAATTATGATATTTCGCTACGTGAATATCAAGCTGAAGACATTTTTTTATCGGTTCTAGAGCTATTCTGAGAAAACAGATCATCTGTAAATTAACCTAACAGACCATCATTGTTTATCATCCGAATTTCAACATTTTTTATTAAATGACATTTATGACACCTGCTACTTCCTGCTTCATGTGTATCTTCTCAATGTGGGTGTTTAAAGTTGATTTGAGTGATTCCGTTCTCGAAAACAGCTACTATCTTATGCTCTACAAAAGGATATAAGGCAACATTTTTTTTAACTTCATACATGCTTCCTCTTAAAGAGATGTGATTAATGGCCTGAAAATACTAGTTTATGTCTCAAAACTTCAATAAACGTTACCATTCACTACCTAAAATGTTGATGTTGACTAAAAATCACCTAGCTGGTTCGGAAATAAAGTCTTTTGTTAATTACTTGAAGCTATCAAAAAGCCAACGCTGTTTTTCGTTAACTTTAAAATCTACAATGTGTGAAATTACTGTCATTATGTCAGCTTTTGAAAGGGCTACTGTTTATAAATATCCCTATCACCATAACGTGTTACCAGTTAAAACTGTTCATATTTGAAAATTCTAGTAACCCTATTTAGCCGTCCAACATTATTCCGATGTACAATTTAGTCCAGTATATTGATTCTAAGTTGGTATCCATTATGGACTATCATAAACTGAAGAACCATCGGAAACCTAGGAGCATTGGACAGCCTTTTTGTCGCAGTATATGACTCCTCACTAGTGCGCACCAATGACACCACTTGCCAGGGATCGAACCCAGACCTTCACGTTCCGCTACCAGCACGCTGGTATTAAGCCACTGCGTCAGAATCCAGTAGTCCGTATTTTCTCCTTTCGCCAGTTCCCAATACACACGGCCTCCATCAAATGCCATCATTGACTATCTGTACTCACATTACTCATGAAGAACATGACCTAAATCCAATTGTATGTAAGAATATGTCAGAAATCATGACAACATATACTTGTCTACTATGAGACTAGTCATGATTTTCAGTTGCTTGGAGATAATTTCCAGGAAGCCCTGCTCAACCTAGATTTCATATTTGTTGGTAGTCATCAAAAAATGTATATTTAACCCCGAGAGAACAGATGACCCCCAGTTAGATTTGAAACCGTATGACCCTGTGTTTCAGTCAGAGATATTACCACTGAGCTATTCGTGAATCTTATTCGATGCATTTCAATACTGACCTAAGATTTTCAGAAATTAAGTCTCTTTGATGTTTCTGCGGAGTAAAAAAACAGTTTTTATCGTTCTCACTTCACAAATCTCAATAGTTTAACTTAAGCACTAGGTGAAAATGTCAGGCAGAGATTTTTACTCACCTACAGAAGGTAACGCTATCTTGTTATCAAGCATATCCTAAAAATGAGAGAGGAAGGCTTGCCAATGAGTTGTTCAGTTGAGGGATATTTAACGCTTACAGCTTGTAGGTGAAGGTTATTTGTTCTGTTTTAATCAAGTCAGTGGATAAACGTGTACATGCCTATAAAATAACTTCAATCTACAATCTTTCATCCCCTAATATCGTTCGGAAAGCTAATATCTTCGCTGTTTTTTGCCATTCATTTGAATATTTGTCAGTCAGGTTAGGTTTTTAGATTGTAAGTTAATATCCGTTACGTTATTTATTGGATATGCTACATACAACATCAAGCCAAAAATAAACAACCACTTGCTTTTTAAATCAATATGTATTATGGAATAACCTTTATATGAAGGTGATATGAACATGAAACATTTAATCTAGTCATAAGATATTTGTTTTATCTCAATAGTGTTCGAGTCACGAAGATTATGAAAATATTATTTCTGTAGTTTAAGGTTAATAGTGATTTCATTTTTAAGCTGGTATTACATATAAAGTGACATCACTTGGACAAGAACAGCTGATAACTAATACCTTAAAAATATTTTTTCTGTTTAGTTTCATACCTAATCGTCATTTTTACTTCACTAACAAATTTTAACCTTCATTTTTTTCTATTTATCTTTTGTCCTACGGTAGACTGAAATGTTGAATATGATTTCTTAGGATGTAGTCAGCTGTTGACGCAAAAGATAGTATCATCTAAAAATTTATTAAGATGAAGCACGTTCATTGTAATTAATATCTAGTGAGTGGTTGAGATGTTTGCTTCTTTCATAACTGTAAGCCTTTCATAGAAGGTAGCTTGAAATATGAATATCTCTTTTTTTCACCAATAAAGATCCTAAAGATGGACATTTGAAATACGTAGGAGGTGCAATTCAATACTTACTCAACCCTATACAGTACTCAATGTATGAATTCATGAATTCATATTTTGATAGGCTTTCCTCACTGATGTACTATAAACTCATACAACAAATAAAGCTTCATAACAATTAGCAAAACATTCTTTGTGGGTCAAATGAAAGCGAGAAAAGTTTATAGGCTATGTAAAAACTGATAGCAAAAGCAAATATGAACTTTTTTGCACAGGCTTCTGCAGCTGGTGTTACTTTTATTGTAGCATTTTGTACTGGTGATTGCAAGTGAGTGTATATTTTGTTGTCTACTTGGTGGCTGAGTAGGATCTAGGATGCATGTTTCATCTTATTCTGGTCTCTTCAGTTGGATGTACCTGCACCCCAGTGAGTTATGGTGTTGTTGACTTCTTGTTGTTGCAATAACAGAAAAATTATACTTCAAATTCTGAAGTTCAGGAGATAGTTACAGAAGGTATGTGGTCTTACATTACTGAAACTATTGACAGTCTACAGAGAAGTTTGAAGTGATGACAAAGTTTCACTGAAAGCGCATATGACTCTACAATACCCCAATAATGTTTCTTATCATGCAGTCTTAAAAGGTTTTAACAAAGAGTACTCCTTGAATGTGATGACAACGTTGGCAAGGCTATTCACTGCAGATGCCGGTGTAATTCTGGATAATAGGTTTCCAAGGTTAACTCGAATTCCATATTTTGATAATTTAAATCAGTTTCATACCATTCACCTCTCATTTTGTGCAAACTATGACAAGAAGACGTAACATCCCGTCTACTCCAATGTGTGCCAAGTATCGTTTTCCGAGTCTAACATGCAGTTAGTAGCATCCTAATAATAAGTTAATCAGTAAGATTTAGGATCAAAAATTTGGAAAGGAAAAACGTGATTATTTTGAACAAAATTAACCGTATTTGGACGGGAAACAAACATCTGGTCATTTTTATCAATAAAAAATACTACTCAGAAACACGTTTTTATTTCTTATAACTGCGATTGGATAACGAAGGTTGTCCAATTAATAATAATCGCCATAATAAAAATAATAATTCCCCTACGCTTTTTACTTATTGGTTACTAAATCCATGTGAAATGAAACCATTAAGTTTTGATGGATAATACAGCCGTAATGCAAATAAAACTGCTTTAAATCATTTTTATGAATGCTGCCGAAGTGTTTCGTGTGAATGCGAATCCACTTCAACACAGATTCATTTCTTCTATATAAAATATATTTTAAAACATTTTGCTGCAAACATTGTGACATGAATCTGGTTTGGATGCACATATAGTCGTATATGCTCAATTAATAATATATTCTCGAATGGAATCAAATTATGCTGCAGATCTAGGGAAATTGGTGATAAAAATCTACGGAGGTTTGCTATTACTTTTTGGTTTGCCCGGAAATGTAATCAGTGCAATTATAATGGGTGGGAATCGTTCAAATCGTTTGACAACACGTTTAATTATCGTCGTTCTAGCCATCGCTGATAATTTTGTCCTGTTGACTGCTGTTCTACGTTATTGGTTAATGGAAGTTTACAGCTGGGATTTGCGCACAACTGGTCCATTCATCTGTAAAATTCATGTGTTCGCAGTAGGATTTTCAACAGATTTTGCTGTGGGTGTCTTATGTGCAATCGCAGTTGAACGCCTACTAGTTGTAGCACTACCGTATAAAGCATCGAACTTAGTGACACTTAAATCTGTAATTATAGGTATGACATGTTTTGCTTTAAGTATAATTGTTAAGAACTCAATACATTTTTGGATGATGGGTGAAAATAAATCTTCACAATCTAGACGTGGTTTAATAAATACCTACAATAACAACGCATACATCACAGTATCAGAAAATTCTACAGAAGACAACTTATTCACTTGTACATTTGCATCACAGTACGAAATTGTTTTGAAAATATTTATGAAATTTGATTTCGTTAGCTTTGCTGTTCTTCCATATTTAATACTATTTTCATGTAATATGATTATTTATTTGAAATTACGTAAACAACGTCGTTTAATAAGATCTCATGCATATACGATATCTGTTGTAAATAATAGTAATTATAACAAAACCATCAATCAATACGACATTTCAAATAAAACACAAAATAAAATTGAAAGGCTATCATTTATTCAACCAGAAGTTACAAATCTGTCTGAAACCAAAGATGTTCGACGCAAACGTTCCATTCGTAGACCGGAAGGTGTTATCAAATTATTAAATGTTTTGACTATCATCCATGTGATATGCACACTACCAGGTACAATTTTCACCTTTCTTTCATCTTATTTCAATTATTTCCATGATATGCCAGAGCATGATCAAGTAAAATTTGGCTTAGTTATGTTGATATTTACCAATAATGCAATCAATTTCTTTGGTTATTTTATTTCCTCCACAACATTTCGTCAAACAGTTTATCGTATGCTAAGTCATTGGTGTCAATGGACAAATTTCTGTCACTGAACAAAGCGGAAGAAGGAAACGTATATTGATAAAATCAAATGCCAAGACGGCATGGAAGTGGGAGAAGAGGGAAACATGGTTGATGAAGAAACAATAAAAAATCAAAATCAATACAGTAGGTGCATTAGTACTGTTTATATAAAGATATCACCTGCGTCATCTCCTCCTGATTGACCTTCTTGTTATAACGAAATCCATAGGATTTGAGGTCAAATTATTCCTAACTACTGCGTATACAACACAGCCAGACTTGAACGTTGATCATATAAAACTACATAAATACAGTAAGACCAAGCTCAAACCACATAAAATATTGAGACAGAAATAACATTTAATTCATTCTACCTTGATCCTTTAAAGTGAGAACTTCTAAATATTATTATGAATACAATTTATTTTACTCAAAATTATTTAATCAATCACTGAAGTATGTTTTTATATCTTATGCTAGTGTAATTATCCCGGTTATGTAGAATATTTTGACATGAAGAGACCATAAATTGATTTGTAAACAAGACATCAAGTTGTTTCATAAGTAACTCCAAAGAATTTCTTGATTTCTACTCTTCATATATGTTAAAAATTTTTTACAATGATGCATAAATATATTTACTCAAACGAATTTCAAGTCTTAGTGACGTGGAATTTTGTCTCATTTAAGTCTTTGTTAACACTGTTATTCGCAGAAGAGATATGACATTAGTACAACCAAGGTTAACATACTATCTCTAGGTTATTTTAAGGCTGGGTTGAATATGTATACGGAAAATTATTTAAATTCTGGTTACATTATACCTAATAAATGACAGATAAAAAGCAATCTAATCCTTAGATTTAATATTTTCAGTAATACTTGATTTACGTTAATACAGCGAAATGCCTGGTAGCTTAATGAAATTTATTTCAATCATTATATTGTCTTACTAAACCCTCATAGAAAAGGCCCAAAACGTTTCATATAGCTATATGTAACCACGATATTTGTAGGCATGCTTCAGTGAAATTACGTAATACTAAAAACTTTGAAATACTTTACTCATAAACAGATGGGCAGAAGATAGATAACGAACAATAATAATGAATCCTGTATTTGGCTTATTTACTGGTCGTGAGGAAAAAACCTTACCTTCTGCAGTTTATGAAATAAATGTTATGTATACCAGCTTGTTGTTTCACTTCATCACATTAAATACAATCATAGAGTTTACATTTCTGTTTTATGATTAACTGTGTCTCATAACCTAGAATATAAACTTTGTCAACGGGTAAACTTCCATAGCTGAAACTGTCTAGTAACTATTACTTTCCTCTTTTTTAGAAAACAGGACTGATTATCATTTTCAAACTGTTTCTCGAAGTGTAAACGACAAATTCCAGACAGGTCGTAAACAATGCTTTCAAATGAAAGCGTATGAATACTTCAGTCTATGAGTTTAACGCCTTAACTTTCATTATAATAATAGGTTTTGTTTGATATTGCGCGCACGCGTTTCGTCCTATTCGGGACCCGTAAGCTGAATGTACCTGCACCCTAGTGGGCGATGTTCTACTCAGTGAGACTCGAAACCAGTACTCACCGCTAGAAAGCCAAAAGCGTTATCGACTAGGTCACTTGGGAACGATAGCCACCTCTTATACAACGGTTATCAGTTGTTATTTTGTTCCTTGATAGTTGATATGAGTTCAGTTTTCTTCTTTTTAATTAACATTCTTCAAGAAGTTATCATGATCCGATGAATGGTCGGAAAAGATTAAGGTTCTAGAACTGGCTTTGATAACTTAGGCAGAAAGCAATGGCTCAATTAATAGATTGCGTTCATTTTCACGGTAAATCAGCTAAAAGAACCTATGCTACTCAGTAGATTGTTCCATTTTCAACTTAAGTAACGGTGAACATTTGAAGGCAAAAATACCATTCCAATACACTAAAAAAGTAATTCTAAATGAGACAACTAGTCATAGTATGAAAGATGATAGTGACAGATGTGGATACGGTGGCATAGTGAAATAATTCATCCATGCAATATGAAACTGAATAAAAATCTATCCTCAAAGTATCATTAAAAAAAAACTGCAAAACTGCGTTATTTATCAAACGTATAAATTAAAAAAATGAGTGAAAATGCCTAAAGATAAAATGACGGGTAATCATATATCTCTAAAACCTAGAAGAACTATACATCATGGGCTGACGTAAGTTGGGGGACCATTGAAAATCTGGGAGTGCTGCAGAGATCTTTCATCCCAGTATGAGAATTCTCAGCAGTACGAAACAAAGAATCCACAACACATGGAAACCAGAACCGCCAAGTATCACAGCGAAAGCGTTAATAGTTCAGAACATCCGTGGATAGTAGGATGGGTCGCGGATGCGTACTACTGAGGAGTCCCATACTCGGACGAAACAGTCTTCGGAAACCCAACACAGTGACTGCTCACAAGCTTTTATTTTCTCCTCGCATGATCTCCTTCATGTCGCATTTGGACGCCCGACCCTTCGTTTCCACTTTGTATTCCACTCGAGTGCCTGGAGCGTGATGTCCCTCATCGCCCATCTCAGTGTATACCCAGTCCAACTCCGCTTTCTTCTGTATATTTGTTGCGTGACAGGTTCTTGATTAGTTGGTTGCCAGAGTGAGTTCCGTTTTGCTTATTCCTTCTGGCCATTTGATCTTCAGTATCGAGCGTAGGCAGCTGCTGGTGAATGTCTGTGGTTTGTTGGAAACGCTTTTCGTGACACGCCAAGTTTCTAAACCATATAGCTACACTGACTTGACCTTGGTGTCAGAAATCCGGGTCTTATTCTCTATGCTTAGTGCAGTGCAGCAGATCTGCATACTGATTTCAGAATAATGAAAGTCTTTCTTTTCCGATCCTGTTAATGGTGACTGTTGCTTGTTGCTGATGCTGTTGTTAGTTGGTTATCTTCATCACCTTCCCAACATTCACTTAAAGTCCCCTTTTTGCTGCCTCTACTGTCAACTTGGCAGTTTTTGCCTGCAGATCTTCGAGTTTGTACGACATTAGTCATAAATCACTGACAAAATTCAAATCTTCTAAGGTCTTTTTATCGGTCCAACGTATGCTCATCTTCTCGCTCCTCATGCTTTGCTGTATGGTCCAGTCGACCACAATCAGGAAGATGATCGGTGATAGTAGGCAGCCTTGTCTTACTTCTGTCTTCGTGACAAGATTAATAGAATTTTCTAGATATCTGAGACAGGTGCATAATCATTTCTTTAACGTGCACTTGGTGTTGATTCGATAAACAAAGATTTGGTTATCAATCTACTCCTCTACCTAACTGAGATGGTTTTCAATTCCGTCACTCTATCCCACACTGCTGCGTGATTGTGTGTAATTGTATGTATAACTATAGCCTAAACTTTTCTCTAAATTACCTTATTAGGATATACTAATCTGGATTTAGCGTTCTGTAATTCTAATTGACCGTGTTCGACTACATTAACATGTGTACCTAACCTCTAAATCATTGTAAAGTATTTGGTGCACTAAATTATTTTAGCTGATTGGATCCATAGGATCTTTTGACCTGCAAAGCTTGTTTCTCAGCGGGTTTGTTGGCTTAAATGCTACTCATTATAGCCTTATTGAGAATCCTTCGTAACGCTTCTGAGGTTGTGTCTTTGTGTGGTAGCACAGCAGAGGCTTTCATTCTATCTCAGTCCTGTTACTATCATTAGTAGAATTATTATTCCTAACACATGTGTCAGTGCTCCTAATATTTTGGTTTTGATTACTTATGAATTTAATTATAAATTTAGACTGGTAACTACTGACATGCAAGGTATTCTTGATGTATCTAATTTCTTATCGCAGATTTTTCCGTTTCGCGCACTTATGCACTTAACTAAACCTGCTTTAACTGAGATAGAATGAGATAATTCTAAGTCCAAGTAGCGTTTTCGTTTAATCTTGCGATTTGAAATTGCTAGCTCACCTTCGTCACCCTTCACTCAGCTTCAAAATGAATACTCTTAAATAATTCTAATATTTTTTTCCACTCTTCCTCTTTATTGAAGGAATGAAATCCTTAACAGTTGGAATGGATCACTGGCTATCTCTTTTCGTGTTTCTCCATTTTTAACGGAATATTTATCCACTCAAAAATTCATGCATTCAGTTTCATTTTCTTAAGTTTGAGGAAGTTAACTAAGAAGCAGATAATAGTTACTGTTTTCGTGATGATTCTGAACAAATCTTCAAGCTATAAATCACAAAGTTGCCAGGCTGCAGTAGTCCTAGTGTTTATTTAAACCCCCCGAAAAGTTTAACATCTGGAGTATTACTGAAAAATATCCAGTAAAATCTAGTTTTCATATACACTGCTCATCTTGATACCTGTCCACAAAGAATAAGAATATACGACACATATGACTAAGTAGAGGAAGATACTGGTATAACTCATCACTATGGTTAACATCAGCAGTGAAAGCTCCATTTATCCACCATAAAATCTTCAGTTGCCTTTACGTAGTGATTTCGTGAAGTAACGGAAATGAGACGTCTAAATATACCGTCATAAACGTAAGACAGTGATCTTTAATCAGAGTGCCACTGGACATATCTAACAACAATGATTTAATAGTCCTATTACTCTGCAGTGGGTTTATGAAGTGTGCTCTTCTGGTAGACTTCAGGTGTCCGTGAAGCAAATAAAAATAGGTCAAGATGAGAAAAGATACAAGTCTTGGTTGTATTGTGTTCTCTGAGCTGGATTGTTTAATCGCGAAGCTTCCATCGTCTTTTTGGATGACATCATTAGCGCTAACCAGTATGAAGTGAGTTGTCAGCATCTCTCCGTGAATGATTTAGTGACTTGCTCTGATGATGTGGTCTGTGATTGGTTGTTCCCCTCGACTGTTGTGTCACTGACTGTAAAGACTTTCCTGTTAGCTGTTCCTCTGCTTGATCTCTGACCTTTCTGTCGTTTATCATCTTTCTTATTGGTTGGTAGATTGTATCTATATCTATACATCTGTTGATTTTGACTGACCTGAATGACAAGCTTCTAGGAATTCGCTGACATTTTTTGTGTTTTCTTTGTTCAAAATTACTACATTGTCGAAATTGAATTCGTCCATAATTATCCACATGCATTGAGATGAAAAACGAAATGTCTTGGCATTTAATAGCCAATTGGTGCTCATGTAGATGAAGGAGAAGAGGGTGGCCACTTTGTCCGTTGTAGTGTTGACTTCAGTTATTGCACTTGGTTTTGTAACTGATATTCGCTTTGTCTTCTTTGGTTGTTGCATCCTTTGGTCTGCCTAATCGTGTTTGAAGGGAATTTGTCGTGATTTCTGATATATTCTTTATGTATAGCAGGATGATGCGTTTATTGATTTCTGTCGATGACTTTGTAGTTGATGATGTACGGAATAGGCATCTTCTGATAAAGTTTCGTGGGTAGCCGTTCTTCTTTAGGATAGTCATCAAG